GGCGACAGCTTCGTTAGCGCCAAGGAGGTCTTGTAGCATCGGAAGGTACGGGTGGATCGTGCGCTGGCTCGTCGGATCGTCCGTGACGTAGTCTTTGATGAGGAAGCAAAGGGCGCGGACACACGTGCGCAGCTCCGCGTGCCGCTGGTACACGCCTTGATGCCTACGACAGGTGTAGGGCGACATCTGACGCGGTCCATGAGAAGCCTACGTGTGCAAGATTGCTGCAAAGTTGTCGAGGAGCGACGCCAAGACAGACTGGTCCCAGAGAATAAACTTGAGCGACGGGTGCTCGCGTAGGACATTGTGCACCGCCCGCAGGCAAATCTCGAGCGGCTGCACGTCCTGAAACGCGAGCAAATCTACGTTTGGGACGCGCTGCAGCTGTGCGCAGTGTCGTGCAAACTGGTGCTTTGTAAAGAGCACGTCCAGAAGGACGAAAACTTCGGTCGCACTCGGCAGATGCACTCGAAAGACGTCGCTGTCGCGCACGGTGCGGCAGCAGTGCAGGGGTATGGTTGCGTCGTCGTTTCCTGCGACACCGCAGAGCCAGACGCCACTCTCCTCGTGCTGGATGTGGAAAGTAGTTGATGATCCACCGTGCTTGCTTGCGAGCTTGAAGAACGTCGCGGGTCCGTTGTCGGTTGACGAGGCCGAGACGCACAGCGGCGCGTTCGCACTGATAGCGAGAAGCTTGCCCGTAGCGACGTGGCGCAGCTGGAACACATCAAGCGCGATTGCTTTGCCGCCCCACTTGGCGTGGAGGGGCTCGACCGCCCAGAGTGCGTTCGAGGTCACTCTCGAGGTTAGGGCCAGAACATCCGACGCAAGTTCGAGGACGTGTTCGCTTTCGACGTGGCAGAAGCGCAGAATGTCGCCGCCGCGCAGCGCCGGTACGGACGGCTCATGGTTGGCGAACGGTACAAGCTGCCACCGCGTCTTGTCCTTGCCAGCGACAACGTCGAGGATGCTTTCTTGGAGGCGGCTCGTTGCGACGTCGAGGTAGCGCTCCCAGCGGGCGCTGTAGAGATGCACAACGTCTTCAATGAGGACAGTGTCCCCGTCCATCTTGGTTTTGACCGGGGCTTGCACCTCCAGCCACGAATCGAGCCTACGACGGTTGCTTGCTGCCGCATCGACGCACAGTCGGACTCGCGTACCATTGCTCGCGAGCTGGCACGTCGCAGGCGGCGTTGAACGTGTGTGGGGACTCGAAGCCAATCTAATAACGGTACATGCACCATCTACCGGCAAAAGATCTACCTTCATCGTAAAGGACTTGACTCCGCGCTCGTTGACGTTGATGCAAAGCACTTGGTTGGTGTGGTAATGAACGAGCTACAACACGCACCGTACAGGCCCATGAGCAGAGGTCGCAGGCAAGGTGACGTACGCGAATGCATTGCCCGAGCTTTACCTCGGTACCATAGCCCTTGTATGCCATCTCGTTCTCGAGCGCACGCTACATGGACCATCTGGCATCAGGGCGAAGACGCGTGCTTGGCGTACGCTATCGAGCTTCCTCTGGAGGTCGACGCGGACAATGTCTTCCTTGTTGAGCACGGCCTCCACACGGAAGACGCATGGCAGTACGCTCTTGGGCTCCAGCGCCTCGGTCTGTGTGAGCGTCTCGACCCCAGCCGCCCGATGGACGATCCTACGTTGGCAGGAACGATCATCATCTCCATCATCATATTTTGCTCGTCTACCCCGAGGAAGGAACTGCATGCTCGCAGGAAGCGAGGAAGCCGATCGCGGGATGGGGATCTGCGCTCGACTCGGGGGACCAGGACGGGTCGCTGCCTTGGGCGACCATGAGCACGAGGTCGCCGACGCAGAGCTTGGCCATACCCCCAAAAGATCGACGTTTCTTTTTAGCCAATCATATGCCTCAGATGATTCCACAGACCAATCCGCGTCCGCAGAACCAAACCAACGTGATTGGTCTGTTATTTCAGCTGGCGATGCATTTCAGCCTATGGCACGCAGGACGAGTTGGGAGAAACAAGCAGTTGCCAACTTGCCATGAGCGCCGTCTGCGTCGCGAGCCCGCCGGCCGAAGACGACTGGGACATGCCACTGCTCTTCATGACGTCGCTGCCGACCAACTTCAAGGTCAACGCCGACATTGCCGCGCTTGCGAGCTTCACGGACGACTACGAGGTCTCGGAGGACGAAGGGCCGTCGCCGCCAAAGACAGGCAAGGTCCAGGACAAGACCAAGTTCCGGTCGTCGTCGCGTCACGTGGCCAAGCCGTACGCCAAGTCGAAGAAGGCCAACATGGCCGAGCTGCAAGTGTGCATGAAGTTTTTCAACATGTAGACTACCCCAACTTTGTATTTAATACATCCGCAACACACCACCGACAGAGCTTCGTTCGCCTCTCCCACGGTCACACCCAAATCACTGCTGCAACAAAACTCGAGACGCACATACGTCAGCTCGTGAAACTCGATTCAGTTCCAAAGACAGCGAGGTGCACCGCCGACGAAACTTGCCGTGTTTCGAGGACGGTAAAAGCCTATCTTTCGTACGATAATGTCATTTTGTGATCTTTTTAGGGTCGGCAAGCTGCAGCAAGCGTCCACAACTGGCACCGTGACGCGCGATGACCATGCAGCTAGCTCGTGAGACTCGATTCAGTGTCAAAGACAGCGAAGTGCACCGGCCACCAAACGTGCCGTGTTTCGAGGACGGTAAAAGCACGGGCCTATCGCTAGATAGACTGATGTATGAAGTAGGACCTTTTAAAGGGAGGTACGCCTCGGACCCTTGACGGCTCGTGCAGCCACGCTGATGCGTGGCTTACATGTCGGGAGTAATAGAAAGCGAGCATGCTGTATTGACTTTTGTTTTATAAGATTAACCTGATTGGCCACAGAAAAGATCCGCTGCACGCCAGTTCAGTTGTTGTTGAAATGGGTCAATTTAATTTAATGAGCGGAGCTCGCTGGAAGAAATTGGTCTCGATCTAGGTCTGTTGTTGGAGCAGCTGCTTTCGTCATCATGTGTTCTGGGTGACACTTGCGGAGGTGGCCTTGACGACCCATCTGGTTTCGGCCCTGTTCGGATACATCGCGCGACGCAGAGAGGAGGGGGGCGGAGAACGGAAAAATGCGCGCGC